GGCCGGGGGAGGGCGCCCGGGGAAATGCGGCGGAGCGAGCGAGCTAGGCGGGAGTGTGTGTCGCTGGCGCGTCGCCGCGGGGGCTGAGCCCTGCAGCTGCCGCCAGCGTGTGTCACTGGTTGTCGCCGTGCGTCGTGGCCTGCGAGGGTGTGTGCGTGCGTCCTAAGGGGAAACACCGCGTGCGACAAGTTGCACACCTCCCAGTGCATATCTTAATGCCATTTTGTAGAAAGCAACCGAGCGCTGGCCAGGTGGGCTCAGCTGGGACTTGGCCACTCCTGGCCCTGAGCCTGCATCCCTGTGCGGCCGCCCAGGTGACCCACAATGCCCAGGGTCCACCTCCCTCACACACACACAAACACACACACACACTGGTCACCACCGCATCCATGCCCCCAGTGACCTCAGATGCTCCCCCTCCAAGAGGGAGGATGAAGCCCCTTCACACCAGGGTCATGGCTCATAGTAACCACACCTGGGCCAGCTGGCTGCAGAGGCACTCCTGCACCCGCCACTCTCCTGCTCTGGAATCTGAATTGGGAGAGCCCTTGAGCAGGTCCAGGGGTGGTGGCAAGGCTTGGAAAGGCTCTTGGTGAGATGTCCCCATCCCCTGCCAGGACAGGGAACTACAGGGGCTGGCAGTCACTGACCCCACACCTTAGGGTCCCAGCTCCTTGCACTGGGCCCTGAGGGTGCAGCCCAGGTGTGAAGCCGTCAGGGGCCCAGCACTCCCAGGGCAGGAGCCAGGGTGGGGACACACTGCCGTGGGCCTTGGTCACCACTCGTGGGTGGGGAGCTGGACTAGAGCAGGTGCCTCTGGACACCCAGGCCAGCCCTCCTTGGTGCCCTGATTTGGGAACCTGCTGTCCCAACTGCAGTCTGTAGCCCAGCTGCATTGGAGACCCCTGGGAGCAGCTCTGGCTACCAGTGCCCCTACCCTGGGCCAGGGGTTGACATATCCATCTTCCTTCAACTCATAGCCAAGCCACGGCTTGGAGACAGTGACCCTGCCTGCAAATGCGCCACGTGATATACCACCCTCCCTCAGAGCTCTGCAGAGGGCTGGCGGTGCCCTGCCCCCACCTGGAGCCAGGCCTTGTAAACCATGGAGGGCCCCGGGGGGCCTCAGCCCCCAATCCCTGGGCAAGTTGGGTGAAGGATGTTTTTAACTGGAATGACTATGGTTTATATAACCAGAGCTTCCAAATTACTTAGCAAAACATGTTTGCTTTTTAATTAACATCTGCTTGAAAAACAATGGTTTTAATTAAAGTGGGTGGGGGAGAGTAGAGATGGTGGGGGAGAATATCTCAAGGAGCTCCAAGTTTCAGGCTAGACTTCTTAAAAATAAAGCGGGAGCCCTGCCAGGCGGGCAGAGCCCGGGTAGCCAGGATCCTCAGAGAGCCTGACAGCCTACCTGCCCCGCCCCAGGTCCCACGCCCTGCCGGGAACAGGCCCTTTGGTTGGCAATGCCAGCACTCTGCCCCGCGGTTCTGGTCCACTCCAGAAAGGGATGGTTTGTTTCCTTTTTTAGAAAGACAGATTTTTTTGCTACAGGGTGCATTTGCTCACCGGAGAGAGAGAAAGACAGAGACACCGAAAGTAGAAATCATCCCTCTCAGGATTTGGGGCACGCACGCACACATACCCGGTATGAATTTCAAGCCACCGGGTCCGGGACTTGAACCAGTTGGTCATGTGAGAGTCCAGCAATGTACACCATCTGCTGGTCCAGGGATGGTTTTTAGAAGGTAGTCTTGGGTTCTGCCAGGCAGATAAGGGAGGGGACAGCACGAATGAAGCCTTGCTAGGAAAACATAGGGTTACCAGGGAGGCAGACAGAGGAGATGGGCAGGGGAGTCTCCTGAAACCAGGGAGCAGCCCACTCCCCAAGACTGGACCTAGGAGCCACTAGTCTCCAAGCAGGGGGCTGAGCTGGGCTAGGGACATAGGTTGGAAGGGAGGGTGACCCCACATGGAGTGGAGGAGTGAGGAACTGGCCAGGGCAAGGGGCAGAGACCACGCTTGGGGTGCCCTGGGTCTCAGGCATTGCTCCTCAGGGGTGATGGGCAGGCTGCAGTTCCCATCAGTCCAGCAGGGGGCAGCACTTACCCCCACATCCTGCATGGAGGAGGCACACAGTAGGTCCTCAATAAAACTCATGGAGGGACCAGCAGATGGCGTAATGGTTATGTCACTGGACTCCCACTTAGTCGGCTGCAGTTTGAGTTCCTGACCCAGCAGCTTAAACTCACATTGGGGGTGTGTGCATGCGTGCCCAAGATCCCTAGAGGAGAATAGAGGGCAAGGGATTGCGGCATGGCCGTCTCCCCTCGGGGGTGATTTCTCACTTTCTCTCTCTCTGTCCCTCTCTGGCTCCAGTGAGCGCACGTGCCCTATAGCAAAAGAAATCCAAAAAAAAAAAAAAATAAAGTAAAAAAAATCCAAAAAAAAAAAAAAAAGAAACTCACAGAGGGTGACTGAGACGGCAGGTCGGAGCCAGCCAGGCCTTCTCCCCTGCTGGTCTTTTGGGGTCAGATGCTAGCACTGGGTTGGGACAGCACCTACCCTCACCCTTGAGGACCAAAGGAAGACTGAGAGGAAGCCTCTGGGAGCGAGGCCCCCCCACGGGTCGGGTCAGATGTTCCAGGGGGCCCCACCATGACCCTGTTTCTCATTAGGGGCCTTCTTCCTCCCCCCCACACCCTCCCGCCCACACCCCCACATGAAACGTGCCTCCTGCATTAATTCATTAGCTCGCCTGGGCGGATGGGAGGCCCAGAGGGCGGGGCTACTTTTCCCTGAGCTCAGACATTCCTGGCTTTATTATTTTCCGCATTTCAAAGCAGCTGTCGCCCCCCCACACACACTCTGCCCCCAGCCCTGAAGCTCCAGTCCTGAAGGGGCCTCTCAGGTCTCGGAACACCAGTCTCTAGCCAACACAACCAGCCCCACACAGGAGGGAAACTGAGGTCCAGACGTAGATGGGGTAGAGCCCAAAGCCGACCTGCAGGTCACCTAAACTCATTCTCCCCTGCGTGGCCCGGGCACCTCTCATAACACTGTCCCCCTCACCTCCACTCACCCTCTCTGTCCGCTTCCCCACGGTGACCTCCGGGGCCCTCTGCCACATTGCAGAGCCAGCCCTTACTTTTTCCTTCCTGGAGCAAGTGCTAGGACAATCCTAGCTCCGGGCCTAGAAACTCAGCCCCCGATGAGTGAGTGGAGAGAACAGCAGGGCTGGGGTGAGCCTGGTGGGCCACCAGGGCCAGGTACAGGAGCGTTGCAGGGAAGGCCCCTCCATCAGAGAGCTGCTTGTGCAGATGGCCTCAGCAGGGGGCGAGGGGCGGTGTCCTGTTGTGAGGAGCATCCCAGCAAGCCACAGCTGGGTCGGCCCTCCAGGAAGAGGCTGACCTAGGTAGGTGAGGATCCGTCCTGCCCTCCTAGTCCACCCTGGCGTGGGGCTCGATGCTTCAGGTTCCCAGGAGGGTAGTCACTTTGTAATGTGGGCCTAGGGGGCTCTTGGAATCCGAGGTGAGCCAGGGGCCCACACTTGCAGCTGCGCTGTTCAGGGACCCCTCCTATGACGACGGCGCCCTCTGGGGCGGGGCTACACAGAGCCTGTGCGCCGGAGAGAGGCAGCCGCCAGGTGGTCCTCAGAGCAGGCCCCCTCCCCAGAACAGGGCTGTGTCAGCCTAGTGCTGTGTGGTCTGGCCATGCCACTGTCTCGGGGCTCCCACTCGGGCCATCTTCCCCTCAGCACTGTCCTCCTTTTCCTGGGTCAGAAACCTCCGAACATTTGCCTTCCTGCCACAGCAGCCACCAATCATGCCCTGTGCTGCAGTTAGGGATGAGATGTCATTGCCACCAGCTTTTCCACCTCCAGCTCAGGCCCCACAGTGGAAACACGCACGGGCGTCTGCTGGTTTGGGGACACTCAGGACCCCAGGTACTCCAGTGAATGAAGCTGAGGTATCTCCTCCATGTGTTCTGCCCACCACCCACCCCCAGCCTTGACCTTACCGATGCCTGCTTATCCCAAGGCTCATCAGTACTGCCAAGTCCCCACTGCCCACTCCATCCCCACGGGCAGGCCAGGCCTCGCTAGTTATCACAGGTAGAACACAGGTGGCACCTGATAATTACACGGATGGGCAAATGAGTGGGAGGGTGGGTGTGTGGATGAATGAAGGAAGGAAGGAAGGAAAGGACAATGGATGGATGGATGGATGGATGGATGGAAGAATGGATAGTTGGATGGATAAAAGGATAGATGGATAGAAGAGTGGATAAATGAATAGATGAATGGATGATGGGTGGAAGTATGGGTAGGTGGATGGATGGATGAAGGAAAGGAGGGAGGAAGGAAGGACAAATTGATAGATGATAGATGGAGGGAAAGACGTATGGATAGATGAATGAAAGGAAGGGTAAATGGGAGGATGAATGGAAGGATGGATGGGTGGGTGGGAGGATGAATGGAAGGATGGGTGGGTGGGAGGGTGAATGGAAGGATGGATGGGTGGGTGGGAGGATGAATGGAAGGATGGGTGGGTCGGTGGGAGGATGAATGGAAGGATGGATGGGGGGTGGGAGGATGAATGGAAGGATAAATGGTGGGGGGG